GGGTTTTTCTCCATCATATCGTCTTGCCAATATTTTTTCTGATTTATTTATTTATGAAAATGTTTTTAAATTAATTTTTAAAAAATAATTAAAATGAACAATAGGTTATTCAATCTGAAGCTTTTAGAATATTACTTCTCTCGTAATTATCCTAATTAATTTTCTTTTGATGCTATAAATAAATTTAAAAAATGACATAATAATAAAAAATTAAAAATTAAAGAATTCCCCTTAAGAAAATGATTAAAATTTAATGAGATTTATGGAAATTCATTTCTAAAATACAAGAAGTACTAAGTGGGACTCGTAAAGTGATTTCTCGCCTCCAAATGATGTCATTTATTTCCTAAAGTAGAGAGAGTGAGTCAAAAATGCCTAGTCTTTTCGTCTTCTATTTCATTTCCATACATTACTTAGTGCTATCCAACGGTCTTATCACTAATTTAGGACCGGTATGTGTACATAAAACTTATCTGAATGGCCCTTATTAAAGTCCAAATTAGAGGACTCAGCATAGGGAGGTTTCCCACTATGAGTTTAAGCATAAATTTAATTGACCTTAATTAGACAATACTAATAAATATTTTCAAATTAAAATATATTTATAAATCCACAAACAAAAACATTCATGCGCTTTGAAACTGTGTCTCTTTATACAATCTTTAGCTCAATGAATTAGATTGTTTTACAATTAGTAGTCAGTAATTTTATTATGGCTTGAATTAGTTTGAATGTTCTTAATGTTGGTGACTTAGTGGATTGTAGAAACAACTTTTCATTAAAGCAAACACCCAGATAATTAGCTATACAAATGGTTAATATACTTAAAATAAGTACTTAGATGTGTAAGTTATTAATCTAACTAATAACGTTAGCCATTAAGACTCATAATTGAAAAACTGCCTTCAAAGATTCACTTTGGGTATAGCAGTAGTACAGATGAATCGGGTTCTGTCAAGTCAATCATTCTTCCTAGCGTTGCGCTCCCCGATGGGCATCGCACCAAAAACCCCTGACCTCACAGGTGAACTTGTAAGAGGGTGTTTTCTTAACGAAAGTGCAACCATTACCTTCAGTCGTCTCGATCTGAATTCAAGGATCGGCCCTCACCTTGGCTGAGCTATGCCATTTGATATATTCAAACAAACTCAAGATAATTTACAAAAGACTGTTACTCCATGGCCGTAAATTTGATACTTGCACATTTTACTGCACATTTTACTTTTAAAATATGCATTGAATGGTAGTCTATTAATGCGTGAATTCATTCCAAAACAATAGAAAAGACAATCATCTGTGAGTGTCTGTCTGCATTTAGTAAGCCGAAAATAGCACAATTGTAAGAGAAAAAGATCAAGAGAGAGAGGGGGGAGGAGGGAGAACAGAGGGGAGGGTGGGGAGGGGGGATAAATGGCTTTTGATGTAATTGACGTGATGGCGGGGAAAAGCTATAGATAAGATACATCGACGAGTGAATCATCACACTCTTGCTGAAAGGTTGGACTAAGTTGATGGGTTTAAATAGAGTTGTCAATTTCGTTAAAAGTGAAATGGATTTCGTTTAAGTTATATCCGTCTCAATCACAGCAGAAAGATCCTCAACATCATCTAAAATGCAAAGTAGGTCATGTCAATTTCATTTTTGTGATTTGGGATGTTGAGCCACACAGCCGATAGAGTGTGGCAAGGAAAGAGAGAGAGAATTTTTGTAATGGAGTGGAGAAGATTGCCACAGCTTTAATTACCTGATAGGCTAAAAAGTTTAATTACATTTATGGTGAAAAACCCAAAGTGATCTATAAGAGGGAGGTCAATTAATGACAAAACAAATAATATCGGATTTGAATGGAAGGGTTGAACTATTGCGCAGGAAGTAAAAATTATGCATTATTAAACCATATTTTTGAATTAGGTACATATAATAGACTTTAAAGGTCAAGCAACTTACTCATAAATGCATAATCCATGTGCATCATCAATACTTCTCCACTCTCTACTCCCTACACAAATGTGACTTGACGAGTCATTGGAGTGACCTAATTACCTTGGAATGAACGATGGGTGCATGCAGAAATTTTAATGATTGACTATTAGCTGTGTCTGTTTCCCTCTCGCTCAACCACTGGGGTGGAGAATCATGATCTCACTTTTAGAGATGGGAGGTAAGCTACAACTAAACTAACTGTAATTAACTAAATATCATATTTAAATAGTTGTTAAAAAAATTAGGCTTTGAAAATAATCAAAACAATATTTGCTCAATTAAATTATCAAAATGCTGTCTAACATCAACCTGTAATCTGGTTCCTTCATATTTATATCTAATATTACCTACCAAGCTCCTAATGATTGAAACAAATTGAGCAACTATTAAAGCATTATAAAGCCACATTATTATTTATTTTTGTAGCCATAAACGGTATTTGCTCTTGATGATTAAAAGGGACATAAAATGGAGCGCGCATTAATAGCCTGTTTACCTGGGCTAAGATTGAAAAGATCGCCTTGTTTTCGGAGGAATTCCTGTCGCATTGTTACGTGCAGATTAAAGACTTGCATTGTATTGAGGTACGACCTAGAAATTGCAATAAATTCATTTCCTATTTGACGATTTAATTCTATTTTTTTCTCCCAACTGTAAAATTAAGCTATTTAAATCTATTTCTCATAAACAAAAATGAGATTATGTAAAAAATGGGGTGAGTTATAATGTGTAGGTCAAGTAAGGCCTTTGCGGAAAAGTATTTGTTACAATTGACTTATCCTCCTAGGAAACTAGCATCGCCACAACCCTCAAGTTGACCAGAATTAGGTTTAACGTGTGGATATCTTGTACACTTGATGGCTTCTATCTCCTGATCTCTTCTTTAATAGGAAATGCAAAGTAATCATTAAAAGTCAACTAACAACTTTGAAATTGTACAATTGCATTACAGACATTAAATGGTAACGTTTCAAGGTAGATGGTTCGGTTGGTGTCTTGTATGAAAACTGAATATTTACAAATGATTTTATTTGAAACATCATTTTCACATCAGTAATTGTTAATATCGGTGTAAACGCAGAAGTAATTGTACTATAGCAAAGCATTCATTAACTCTTCAGACGGAATTATTTCTGATTTATTGAAAACAAACATTTGCGGCTGTGTGGCTTACTTGATTTGATTGATTATTGCCTGTTCAATTTCCATATCCGATCTGTAATTCAAAGAAAGTATTTATCGAAAGTTGCCATATGAAATAGACATAAATATATAATAAAGATAAATGTGTTATAAAGGAAAATTTGATTTAAGATCTAACTACTTTAAAAAATTATTTTTAAGTAACAGCTTAAGGAAACTAAAATTACTTCGATTACTCACTTTCGTAACAACTTTACTAAATATTTCTGAGAGAACTGACTGCAATAAATAACTTCAAGGATTTTGTCATTTTTAACGGCAATTACAAGGCACTATTTGATGTAAGCGTTTACACTCAGAAATAATAGTTCCAAGGGATTTATTTAAAATACATGTCGCGTATTTTGTAATCTCTTTCATCTCTTTGACAAAATCGCAAACTGTATTTTCTAAGTCTCATGTATGATGTATCTTTTACGGTAAGCTTTAGATTGCACATATCTGAATAACAATTAAAATACAAAATCACACTAAATAATCGAAAAAACACAATTGGCGTATAAGTGAATTATGATTAAAAGTAAATTTGAATGAAAAGAGTGAAGTGCGCGCATACTTCATTTGCTCAATCATCTTGGCTCGAGTTTCCTGCACTGACTGGAAGAAACAGGCGTTCCAGAATCGCAGCGAATGCCAGATTGGTTGACCCTTGATATAGGAGAAGAGGAAGACCTTCTCACCCGCCTTTAAGGGATCTAATCAATAGCAAATGTTTTGTAAGTTTAGTAAGCGAAATTGTATTTGGATTCGCTAATATTTCAGCTCTCACTAGACAGCTTAGTAAGCTTTCAACTATGTCGATAGACTTACCTCCACATGATGCACCCTGGGCAAAGTATACTCATACGTCAAAAAGTTTAGTAACCGGCATTTGACTTCTGACTTCAAACTACCATCACCTCACTCTATGCCATATTCGAAATCTTCCACAGTACTCACCTCACCTTTTTCCTACCTTTTCTAAGCCTCCACAGTACTCATCTTACCTTTTTCTCTACCTTCGTGTAACACAGTACTCACCTCACCTTTGTTCTACCTTTGTGTCTGTTTAAACTACCATGACCCCACTGTATGTCATATTCGACCCCTTTCTCAGTACTCACCTCACCTTTGGCCTACTTTTGTGTTTGTCTCTTACATCTTTGAAACACTCTTCTGTTCCCCCCCCCCTCTATCGACTTTTTCACTTTGATGTTCCTTCCACTCTGTGAAGCTCGAAGTCAACTAAAGGCTAATGACAACCATCAAAACGCCTGCCATTTGATATAAATAAATAAATAAATAACTTTGTCTAACCCAGGCTTAATGAATTTCCAATTTCTACATTGGCAATGATCGCGGTAGGAAAGATGTCAATTTTGCACACCCCAAGGCAAATGTTCTGTCGAAGTNAGCAGTGGAGAACACTAGTTACTAGGTGATGTCGCATATTATGGCGCTATAGTGAGCATAAATGGAAGGTATCTGGGACCAAAACTGGTATCAGTGCAAAGGTGCTTTGATCTCGAAATAGCAACACAATGAGATTAATTACACGTTATGTTAACCACATCAACTGCAGTCAACCGTAATCTAACGATATCTCCCAAGCAGTGATAGAACGTAGAAGAGATATATTTTATAAAATTGGCTAGGGGTGTGCGATAGACTTACCTCCACGTGGTGCACCCTGGGTAACGTAAACTCATACGGCAAAAAAAGTCTATTACCTGGCAGTTGACCTCTGACTTCAAACTCCCATAACCCCACTGTATGTCATATTCGACCCCTTCAAAGTACTCATCTAGCCTTCTCTGCCTTTGTGTCTGTCTCTTACATCTGTGAATCGCTCTTCTTTCCCCCTGTCGAATTTTTCTCACTTTAATGTTCCTCCCTTCTGTGAAGCCCGAAGTCAACTAAAGGGCTAATGATAACTATCAAAATGCCTGCCATTTGAAATAAATAAATAAACAAAATTGGGCAACTAAGCAATTAAAAAACGTAATCTTTTCCATTCATCAATAAAACAAGAGGATAAGACTTCACAGATCAAAAACTTTTAAATGTGCTGTTTTATTATCAACCATACATACATGTAACAAAACAGTAAAGCGCAAACAAAGGAAAGACATCAATCCTCGTCCAACTCAAAAATAGCATTGGCCATCAAAGTCACAGGGCATTTTGAAAAATGGGGATTCGAGCCCTCCTCGCTTCTATCCCCTTTTTCAGTGGAATTATAATCTTTGGGCTTTTTATCTCCTTTTTGATCCACAGAATCTGAGCTTTCCATATTTTTAACAACAGCAGTTCTACTTTGAGTCTTCTCACCGGAATCTGTTAGGAAAAGGAAAATAATGAAAAAAGACGTAAGCTGTCCTGATTATATTTATCAAATATCGAATTCTAATCGTTTGATTACTTGCCTTCAGTTTCGTTTTCATTATCAACTGCATTCCCATGTTCCTTGAAGTACTCTTCACGCTTTTGTTTGCGCCGAATTTTTCGGCGTTGCTTCTGGGTCAAACGCGTCATATCCGTCACATTGGTTTCACTGTCGTGATGCTGTTGAGAGGATCCTTGCATCTCATTCATTGTTATACTCGAAGCTGTGAAACTGTTGTGCCTTTTTCGACGCTCTGAACGTTTAGCATTTCTCCTAAGCATGGAAAAGGCACGTTGTAAATATTAGATACTTTCAGTGAAAATATTATGCACAGCAAAATCGTGTTCATAACTATCATTTGATTGAATGGCCGACAAATAGCTAACAGGTATCGTGGACAAGTTTTTGTTGAAAATTGCGGAACTCAGAATGAGGCTTGGAAAGCAAAGCGAGAAATCCCTTTTAAGGGAATATCGTAAATGATATAAGGTCCATCGAGACACTATCATTTTGCTATTAGAATTAACGCTAACCAGTTTCTTATAATGAAAAACAGCGATCTTTGCCCTAATGTCGGTTACAATGCTATACGCCCATGAACAGCAATCAAAGCGAGGAGTTGGCATTGGAGCTTTTCTTTCATGCCCAAATTTTATGAAAATGTTAAACTAAAACCGGTCAGAATTGAATAATTATCAAATCTCACCAACAAAGTACCGCTCTCTTCATTTGCAATTCTAAAGACCAATCCATTTTGGGCTTAGAATTTAGAAATTAACACAGAATTTCTTAAACTCAAATTTAGGCCTTTGACGAGCGAGGTAGATCTTTTCTGGTTCCGAAAACTAATCAAAGGAACTCTATCTTATGTTCACTTGTATTTCCAATTCCACTTGCACTGTCATTAAAGATAATAGATCTAGTGTACACACTTCAATCGACAGAAAATGTGGTGGAGGGGGGGGATTGAGAATGTGACTATCTTGAAAACAGACTTCTCAGAGGTCAGAAAGAGGAAAAGCTTTACAAAGAGATTCATAGTTAATCATCATATGGTATGAAATGAAAGATATAAATACGAAAAGACAAGGAAACTCTCGCCGTTAAAAATGTAAACTGTAACTCTTCAAAGATAAGGCTCAAGAATTTAATGGAAGTGAACCTACGCTTTATTGCGAATGGCATTGTGTAAGGTAAGGACACTATCCTTTAACGAAAATGCGATCTTGTCATCTTTGGCGGAGAAATTGACGGAATTGTGTCGAGAGCGAATAGTGGTGGAGGCGATAGGGGGGTGCGAGGCTGGAGGCCAAAGGACACCTCCTTCCTCACCGTTCGATTCAAAATCACTCGAATCGATGAGTGGAGCTGGATGGGCACCCACACTGCTGCCAAATGTAGACACTTGACCAACTGCATCGAGGCTGCATTCTATAAAGAGCAAGAAGAATGAGATCGTGCAGACATTTAATGATAGAGTAACCCCATCAAGCACGGTAGAAGTAACTAAACTGACGCTCATACTAGCCAGTGTGATTATACTTGTCTGCACGCAGAATGGACCAGGGGTTTATAAGCACCAATAAAGTTTTAAGTGATTTAATGCTGTGCACGGTATTCGGCATCACCCGTTTTGTGTCAACAACATTAGACCGGTGGACGTAAAGAAAAAGTGTTAGCCTATCTTGTTTATACTTGCATATTCCGCTTCTGAAATAGACTTGTTAGTCCTCCCTTCAACTTCAATAAATAAAGAACCCCATTACTGCAATGCAAGAGGATTTTCCACTGAATATTTACAGACGACACTAATTGATCATGATAGCTATATTTTACTGAATAGAGCTTTCAGTTTCATATCCAGCTCGAAAGTAGAGTAGGGATGTCAGAGAATAAATTATAGACAAGGCAAAATAGAATAAAGTGGACCAAGAAACATTTAAGGGGTACAAGGGTAAGTTTTGATGATTATTCCCGTCTCGAACGACATGTGAAAGGTGTTGAGTATTTCTTGGGTCCGTTGTACGTTCCTGTTGATCTGTATGTTTCCTTTCTGAGTGGTGAGACCGTTGGCTTAACTTACTTAAAATTCTTCAGTAGCAACGAGCAAATGCAACCTAATTTCGTTCCCTTCTCTGTTGTGGTAGTAACCTACTTTTGCTTGCTTGACTCAACATAAAATCCTATCTTGGAATAACTACACATTCTTAGTTAATAGCCCTGTTATCTTCCCTAAAGTTGATAAACTGGGCATAAAATCTACGGAAAGTAAAGTAAGTGAGCTTAATTGCATTAAATTAATATATTCTCACAGATTATGAGAGGAGATCGAAGAATATGAATTATATTATATAATATAACTCAATTAATCGTGTGCTTGTTATTATCCCAATCAAAATGCGAACATAGAGAAATACACGCAAGACGTTTAATTATTTGCATATTATTATTTTATTGTATGACTTATTTATGGTCACCCTAGCAATCACTTGAATAGTCAAAATGTACAATTGCCTATGGGATTTGGTAACAAATAAACTAATAGACCAATCGATTTTCCCCACAAATACAAGTATAACAGCAAATTAGCGAGGTTGCATACACCACAGCTTCTAAACAGCTTGAAGAATAATGTCATTGAAAAATAAAGTAAAATAATGAAATAGATTCGAGTTCGCCCACACTCTAACGCGTTACATATACAAAAGATCCCAATAAAAATGCACGTTTTTAAAGGAAATTGAGAGGGTTCATTTGATAAGACTATTTATACTACCATCAAACAGGCGTCGAATAAAGGGGGTACAAGCCTACCAAGAAGCCCTGGGAAAATTTCATGAAAGCGCATCTTCGGAACACGGGAATATGGGAAGCGATTTACAGAGCCTTTGAAAAAGAAAACAATAGGTTGTCTCCAGTATTCAAATAACACCAAGTCCTTGATACCCCCTTACTCTACACCTTTATTCACACCTCTTCCTCCTCCTCCTCCCCCCCATTCCCCGTTTCATTATTTTGCAGGCAAATTTGTTATCTGTATGTTCGGATGCTAAAGGAGAAAGCAGAGGTGATGGAATAACTCATCTTAGTTCCAAGGAAAAACCTTCAAATTTTACTTTCAACTCAGGAAATATGGCGATTAAAAGTTTACATATGCTGCTTTATAACCCTACCTTTGATGTGGACATTCTCGATCAAATGAAATAATTTTCAGGTACCTATTGTGTGCAGAAAGGTAGCATCATGGAATATCCTTGAAGAGAAGCCCGAATTCTACTNACACAATTGGCGTATAAGTGAATTATGATTAAAAGTAAATTTGAATGAAAAGAGTGAAGTGCGCGCATACTTCATTTGCTCAATCATCTTGGCTCGAGTTTCCTGCACTGACTGGAAGAAACAGGCGTTCCAGAATCGCAGCGAATGCCAGATTGGTTGACCCTTGATATAGGAGAAGAGGAAGACCTTCTCACCCGCCTTTAAGGGATCTAATCAATAGCAAATGTTTTGTAAGTTTAGTAAGCGAAATTGTATTTGGATTCGCTAATATTTCAGCTCTCACTAGACAGCTTAGTAAGCTTTCAACTATGTCGATAGACTTACCTCCACATGATGCACCCTGGGCAAAGTATACTCATACGTCAAAAAGTTTAGTAACCGGCATTTGACTTCTGACTTCAAACTACCATCACCTCACTCTATGCCATATTCGAATATTTTCTCAGTACTCACCTCACCTTTGGCCTACTTTTGTGTTTGTCTCTTACATCTTTGAAACACTCTTCTGTTCCCCCCCCCCTCTATCGACTTTTTCACTTTGATGTTCCTTCCACTCTGTGAAGCTCGAAGTCAACTAAAGGCTAATGACAACCATCAAAACGCCTGCCATTTGATATAAATAAATAAATAAATAACTTTGTCTAACCCAGGCTTAATGAATTTCCAATTTCTACATTGGCAATGATCGCGGTAGGAAAGATGTCAATTTTGCACACCCCAAGGCAAATGTTCTGTCGAAGTTGGAATTTCTTCCCAAATGATTTATTTTTAATATGATAGGGGATTTAGGAAGAACAAAAAAGCATTTGCCAATTGGAGTTTAAAAAAAGTAAAAAATAAAATGTAGATAGACAATGCTTCTTTTGACTCGTCTTATTTTCTGAAACACAAATCTGTGCCTATTTTCCACGAATCATTTTTTACCACAAACGTATTCATGTGCATAAGAAAGAAATGTTGACTAACTTCTAATAGCTGAAAGAATAATTGGAAGGGTATAATATATTCGTGCCGAGTTGTATTAGTCTCTAGTTTCGGATTATGTATACCAAGAAAATGGGCTTAATCAGGTTTGTGGCAATGCAGGGTATAAACAGAGGGAAACTTGGCATGTCATACAATCACACGAAATCTTTAGCACTTCATCATATGCAGTGCGAATAAAGCCATTAGACTTAACGTAAATATAAAGAAACTCACACAGACCGACTGCTTACTGCTTGTGAAAAGTACGCATTTGGCGTCAAAAATTAAAAAAATGGATTTCAACGGTTTCGGTGGTAAATTTTTGCAATGAACACTGTAGAATGAGATACCAACCAAACTCGACCCATCCAAGATTCTTAATAATTTCACTCTGAACCAGATAGAACAGTATCAATGAAATCGGAGGGAAGAAAATCAAACCTTGTATTAGATCAACTGATTAAGATCCAAAGGGAGGTAGGCATAAATGCACGTCTAATCCGCTGATCATGGTGATGATCATAGCTTCAAGTCAGGGCACAATTTTCAAAGAAGTGTCCAGGATTTTGTTATTTCTCAGTCAACCACTGGATTCAGCGCTTCTTTAAACCAATAATCAATGCAAAAAGTAAAAAATTGCGCCTTATAGTGTAAAATTGGCATTGCTTGTTGGCCCCTCTCCCCTGCCCTACCCACCCATTCACCCACCAAAAATTTTACATGTGTAATATACAAAACATGGAATAAAATCTTCACTGACAAAGGGTGATTCTAAAGTACCTATGATATGATAGATGAGGGACGTTGTGAGTAGACGTTTAGCAGGTACAAAGTCCTCAGTTTTTTGACACTCTGTCAGCAAAAAGACAACTCGACTCAGAACAGCTCTCAGTCCGCTCTCATCCAACAAACCACCCGAACAGGCGCCCTGAAAAGAAATGGGAAAAAATTATCACTTAATATTTTTTCATAAAATAAATAATAAGATTGGAAATAAAAGAATTGAAATAATGACGCAAAATAGTCTCCTGCTAATCAAATAGTAAAAGTAATATGGAACGCAACCGAATATTTGGATATTTTGGCGACAGCTGCCAACTATCGTTGAGCAGCTATGAAGACCGATGTCACTACCCAGTTATTTAAACTTTTTAACTCGTGGATATGCGACTTTCCACTGCTCCAAATAGCGTGAGTATGGAAGTACAGAATCGTCATTAAATTTGTCCATACTCGAAACGAGAAGCAAACCGAACCTACCAGTGTCAACCGCGTCAACTAAAGGTTTCTTAATGACAAAGAAGCACCAGTCAGAAATCTCCTTTCATTACTCACTTTTCATTCTATTAATTGTGCACACTTTCTACTATGAATTATGAATTTTTCAGTCCAACTATTTTTTCTTAAATAGCACAAGTAATTGAACGAAACCAAACAAGGTGAAGGATATCAATGTTTGTTCTCTACAACCACAACTATTGCAATTGAGAAAGTAAAGTTCCAACGCGGTAATTCCGTTTTAGTTAACCACCCTACTTACACATTTATCGTTTCTTTCCCTTTCTTTAATTTTCATACATTTTTAAAAAGTACGTCATCCCCACGAACTTTCTTTGCATTATTTTCAACAGTCCGTCGTGTATTTAATTTCAAATTATTGCGAAATAGAAATACAGTTTTTGTTTAAAATGTTTAGAGGCTCCTTCTGCTTAATTTGATATTAGCGTTAGTAAACACTAGGACATTCACTAGTAGGAATAAAGGAATAAATAATGACAAGGCTTTCCCTTTTTATTTTGTATATTAGGACTACTTAGAAAGTGATTTGAAAATGGTCCCAAATCGTATATCCAAAAGTAATACTTTTTATCAACTAGTAACAGTGCATATTTGTAAGTAACAAAACAATTTCAAGATTCCAAAATAAAATAATTAAGCAATATTACTAGGAAAAATTGATATTTTTCCTTTTTTAAGTTCTCAGAATTTCGGTGAAAATTTCCCCAGTTAAATAGATGTTTAGACTATGCATTTTTTAGATTTACAAAGAAAAATGCAAAAGAGGAAATGAAGGATAATTGTTACCTCGAGCTCAATGGCCTTAGAGAACTGTTCACGTCCCTCAGGAGTCTGGAATGAATTTAAAAAAATTAAAAAATTCTCGTAAAATAAAATTTATTTTTAAGGATAATTTAATTGTCAAGAGAGATACAATATTAAATAAATTATTGGAAATATTAATTGCATAAGGAAAATTTTAGCATTCATTACAAAATGAGTTAAAAATGATAAGGAAATATTGCAAGACGATTTATTAAATTAAAGGACTTTGGATGTTTCCCATAAAACAGCTCATGATAAAAAGCATTGCCGTTAATAGCATGTGGTAACAAAGATATAAAATATGCTGATAATATTAAATAATTTTAAATAAACTCTTCGAATATCCTCTCTGCTACCACTAACTTAGAGGGTTTCGCATTATTAGCAGATGAACATGGGAAAGAGAAATATCACTTACAAATAAATGTTCTTTGAAAGGCTCGTTTTTGTTCTTCAGTTGACCTTCACTGAAATTTCCAAAATCGCCTTATTAGATTTATTTAAAAGTCCAAATTGTTATTCCTACAATTAAGTTTGAACTAACCTTATTGAAAAAAAAATTTCCCGTAGTGAAATTGGCTGATGCTGAATACTTTATTTTAAATGTCCCACGTGTTTTGATTTAGAAATTATATAGCATAACGTAAAATTTTTGCACTCTAAATATAGAAATTAATTTATGTAAGTGGCTTCAAATTCTGATGGAAATTTAAAATGCGAGCAATACTTAATTTTGATTTACGGTACCGAAAATTTCCATGAGCCTAGGAACAAACACAATTTTCCAAAATTTTTAACTGAAGTTACACATAACTACTTGTGTATTTGGAGGTGATACTCTCCAGAAGATGTCAAACGCAGCCAGACTAAATGGTATCCCAAATATATCTGGAACTTACTCTCCAGTGACCAATATTCTAACATATTCCATCATGAAGGATTTCAACTGATCCTCAGTTTGGACAGCTGGCTCCTGGAATTCCACTTCCTTTGAAATCGATGGGTACGCCTCCTCTACTTCCTTATCATCGAAGCTGTTTCTCTTGTGACTATCGCATTTTGTGTAATAGTCATCCACATTTGGACCGCTTCTATCTCTTTCGCCTTCTCTGTTTTGTGCTTCATATGGAAAGTTCTCTTCAAATTTCTCTTCTTCGTAGGACAATCGATAATTTGATGCCATTGTGTTACCAGACTCATAGTCTCGATTTCTTGAATCGTCCGGCTCAGTGACGTAGTAACCATCCTTTCCATAAGTGGGATTTGGGTAACTCTGAGTTTGTTGATACTCTGGCTCTTTGCTCACGGAATAATCCCAGAAGTCTTTCGTTAACGATGGTTCCTTAAACAAAGCAGGCTTAGAAGACATCAGCCCGTCAGTTTCCTCAATTGCTCCTGCAATCATATCGTCCACGGCTGAAACGATCTCCTGGCATTGCAGACGAGTTAGATATCCAATCTCCTCATTCGAAGACTGACTTCCAAAGCTCTTCTTTTTCCTTAATATCTCGGGTTCCTTTGCCACTTCTTCGAGAACGGAGGGCTTTTCCCTTGTAACTGTAGGCGCTGAAGACTTGACTGGATCCTCTTCTAGTGAAATACTTCTACTGCTTTGAAAGGATTGCGATCCAGATCTTGGTCTTGGTGGAGGTGGCCTTGGTGGCTTGGGTCCTGGAGTAGTATTTTGACGCTTGAAGGAGGATTCCTTCTTATCACTGAATGCATCAAGTGACATTCCCTTGTTAAATGGATTTTCAATACGGTTTTCTTCTTTGATTGCTTCGAAAGCTAATGGTCGACTGTCATTTTTGTTGAGAGAACTACCTTCAACCGAATAGGAATTAGTCGGGCTTGATGGCCAAGTAGTTTGATCTACACTAGAAAACGGCTGCTTTGGTTGTACCGAATGCTCAACGCTCGATTTTCTCAATGATTCTATATCGTCTGAAAATGAATCTTTTGACTGATTTAGCCAAGTTGGAGGTGAATCCTTTCGTTCAAGATGTCCCTCAATTGGTGATTCCTTTAATAGTGATGATTTGCAATCATCCGTTTTATATAATGAATCCCTTTCTGAAGAAAACGAGTCTTTTAATGGCATTTTCCTTGATTTAAATTCGTCATTAACTTCAAATTCCCCTTCAAATGATGATTGTTTAGATGAAGCATTTGGAAAATCATTTTTCTCAATTGACTCTTTGAAATAATCTGTGGTTGGTTTGTCCTGAGACTGCTGATTCTCGAAGGTATTTCTGTTTAGCGATTGTTGATTCTGAAAACTGTATCCTCTTGTAGGATGATATTCATAGCTGGGGGTGTCGGATGGTGGAATTACCTGGTTAGAATTGTCCTGATATTGGGACTGTGTAGCTGATGTTTCAGAAAAGGTTGAGCTTATCTGAGATAGATTTATGCTCCCAGCCCGTGCTCCAATTTTCTCACCTTCTTGGACTAGTGAAGGTTTATCTTGTGTTAGTGGTTGCTCAAATGGTAAATTTTCATAAGACAGTGGGGCCACTTGAGTCTTTACGTTGCTCATCTCATCTCCGAATTGCATTGATCGAAATGGTTGCGAAGAACGCGGTTGTGAAACTGAATCACGCTTGGTTTGATCAGGGACCGTTTGAGATTTATCACTTCTTGCTTCATCAGTAGGTTTCGACTGAAAAGTTGTCCCAAGAACGCTCTGTCCAATTTTGTCAATATTTGAGTACCTTTTGAGTGTATCAATCTTACCTCCAATATCGACCTTTTGAGTGAGATCTGACACAATGCTTTCGGTTTTCGCGTTGATGGATTCAAAGAGTTTGCTTGGGGCACCAAACAATCCGCCGCCTCCACCAGAATTCTCACTCTGTTTATCGACAGAAACGTTCCGAAAGAAGCTCCCAAAATTCATTTTATTCTCTAAAATGTCTTTTTCTGGACCACTGCTGCTCTTTTGATGCTCAAAGTGTTCTTCCTCAAAACTATTGCTCCGACCAATAGGATACTCATGAAGAGGTTGATCGATGGACCTCAAGTAAGTGGGCATGTAATCGTGATCACTGATTGGCTAACTACGAATTTCCTTCAAAAGCGCATTGCAATTGGCTGAAGAGAGAGAGGGAGAGTGAGCTAGGCAAAACAGTTGCGAATTTTATTACCCCTCCTCAGCCAAAATTAAACATACAAACAAATTGCATTTGAAATCTCCTAAATGTCGTTATATTCAATTTTAGAGATAAATCTAACAACAGCTTACGAATTGGCACAGTTCTGGAACTCCATCTTAAATCATTTTCACCAAAGACATTGGGAAGGCATTTCTGTCAAACCCTGTTAATAGTGCATTCGTTTAAATAAACTTTCTTTTCTCATCATTAAGTTTCAGATCAGCGTCTAATTTAAAAATGAATTATACTTTTTCTGCAATTTAATAGGACTCTGAAATATTATTTCCACTTAATTAGGTGTCCTTCTGCATTTGAGAAATTCAGGAGTATTGGCATAGTGATTAACCTGATAATCACATAAAGTTAATAATTCACATTAATGTTTTAAATCTGTTGAGCCTGTCATGACATAGTTTTGTCCTTTCGACTGATTGAGGCGATTTTACATTGAGACAAATTTCTATTTGAAAATGAGAACTGATCCATATGTGTATCTGCTAAGTTAGCAGTCCTAAGAACCCAACTCATTGATGCAAGTCTGATAAAGCAGGGTGACTGATCAACAAGAAACTCAAATAACTTTAAGTTTTGTGAATACTTCTTTAAATGGACTAGGTAGTTATGCGCGCTATTTTAAATGTACCCTAATAGCATTAATTCGAAGAATTAAAAAAGATGAATGCAACAACAGCGCTTTCACAAACTGATTCAATGTCCATGGACATTTGAATTTTAATTAACTGATTGAAAATAAGATTTCTGGATAGAGGGCGAGGTTTTGACTGAAGTTTCATAATTACTTACAACATGTACTAGTAGAAGTGGTTGGATATCTCAATGGAGGAGACAACGTTTGCTCAGTTTCTACGCGATGATAAAAGATTAAGTTAGGCATAACTTAGTGATGACTAAATGAAATTAAGTCCATCTCCTGGGCTTATTCCCTGTTTGTAAATTCGACATAAACATCAGAATAAACCGTATTATCTGTTTGCTGTATGTGAATAAATGAGAGAGGAGGCAAAATAACAGGGGAAATTGTTGTTTAAAAGCTTAAAATAAATTAGTTGACATAGTAAGATAAAACTATGGAAACCGCATGAAAACCGTACTAACACTCACCCTTTTTTCCCAAACGCAGAACAATAGGGCATCCAAAATAATAGGAAACTAGTAATAAATGTAATTGAAGTACAACTAATTACCATGTTGACATATTAATGATTATTGTAAACAGGGTTAAAAATATGCTTATTGACAACATGAATTTGCGTGTTTGCACGAAATCCAAAGCAAACCAACTGCTTAAAATCTGATATGAACAATCTGTTTCTCCACCTGTTCGCTGTTTCTAATTGTCATTAAAGTCAAGTCTTTTAATGAAAATTTCGCTCGATTTAAGATGATTCGTTTGGGTCTCCATTTAATGATTAAATGAGAAAATGTATTTTTTTAATTGTGTTGTTTTAAAGATGTAAATGGTGTTGCCTGCTCCTCATGAGATATCGTAGGGCAACAGTTGACCTCGACTCAGAGGCAGGTCAAAGTCAGAAATCAGTTAATCAAAAACATTTTGTGACCAAACAACGTCTTGAAACAGAGGTGAGCGATAGACTTACCTCCACGTGGTGAACCCTGGGCAACGTATATATTCATTCGGTAAAAAATTCTATCAAACCGACAGTTGACTTCTCACTTCAAACTACCATCACCTCACTGTATGTCGAATTCGACCACTTCAACAGTACTCACCCCACCTTTTCTCTGCCTTTATGTATGTCTCTTTTACATATGTAAATCACTCTTCTGTTCCCCACCCCTCGACTTCCTGTTACTTTGATGCTCCTTCCCCTCTGTGAAGCCTGAAGTCATCTAAAGGGCTAATGGCAACTATCAAAACGCCTGCCATTTGAAACAAATAAATAAATAAATGTCTTGAGATATAAATAAAAATCGTGGTATATGTTTTGAGGTTTGTGTGTCGAAACACCTCATTTCCTAAACAAATATCAAAGCATTAGGAGCGGCATGGGCCCAGAAACTGGAGATGATAATGGACGATTCGGAAACAATCTAACGGAATGGATTGTCCCCCAATTAAAATATAAACACTACAAGTTCGAAATATGTTATGTCGGATTCCTATTATCATACTATTGCTCAAAAGGCTTTATTTGTCTTGACCTTTGTCCTCTTGATCCGCAAGATGTAAGAGAATCAAAAAATTAAATATGGGTAGATTTTTAATGAAAATGGTGATCTTTGTTCCTATTTTACCTTCATAATACTTCTTTCCGCAAAGCCATTCTTCGGAAATCGAATGCCTCCCAAGAGCTTCCTTTACCTTTTCTAAAAGAAAGTCTGAAAATTGTAAATTTCCCAACAAAGTAGATGAAAAGCCAAGCTAATTTGACATATATTAAATTAAGCAGCATTGCTTACTTTAATCAGGATTGGAGTTAAGTGCTAAAATGTGTACTTTTAAATTGTGGGTGGTTTAAACTGACTAACATGCTCTGCTATAAGCAAATTTTTCTAACCTGCATGAAATGCTTATTGCACGGGAGTTGGGATAGATTTACCTCTTCGTGGTGCACCCTGGGCAACGTATACTCATATGGCAAAAAAGTCCATTAGCCGGCAGTTGACTTCTCACTTCAAACAACCATCATCCCCACTGTATGTCATATTCGACCCCTGTCACAGTACTCATCTTACCCTTTCTGAGCCTTGGTGTCTGTCTGTTTCTTTTGCATCCTTGAATCACTCTTCTATTCCCCCTCTCTTGAATTCTTCTCACTCTGATGTTCCCGTTCCTTCCCCCTGTGAAGCCCGAAGTCAAATAAAGGGCTAATGATAACTATCAAAACGCCTGCCATTTGTTATAAATAAAATAAATAAATGTTTATTGCACTGAAGGTACCAACCAAGACAAAATAAAATTTTACTATGAATCGCATTTTTGGCCATTTTTACTCATAAAGGCAGCAATTTCAACTTAAACTCCCCACCGCCTCCTCTTCACATTCCCAAATAGAAGTGCCTAAGACCCTGTTTAATCCATTAATAAATAAAAATGTCAACAATCGACTTCGGCCATGGTGCAGACATTGAATCATCTCATTTTATTAAGCGAATTGTCACACATTTGAAAAGGGACTTTCAACCAGCGATTTGGTGAATAATTAAACGTAAAAATAAATCTTGTCTAGTTGCGTGCACGTATTTTGAATGTTAGGGACTTATATTCATGTGTAAAACAATGATGTTAAACAACTGAAATTCTCATATATATTATACTTTTCATTGCCAAATCAAATCAAATGCCGTTAATTAATAGCAGTTCATTAGACGTCTTCTTGCTTCCCCGTATCTCTGGCTTTCCGTCGTTTTCTTTAGGGCTCGACACCGAATCAGGTGGGTCTTCTCCATTTCCTCCTGTAGGTTACATAGGGGGCATGTGAGTTGAGTGTATACTCCCAATCTGTGAAGATGTTTTTCCAAGCAATCGTGTCCGGTACGTAGTCTAAACTCGATTCTTGCTATAAATGTACCCCCCCCCCATCCTTGGGGGAAGCTGAAGTCAAAGTTTAAGGGCTAATAATAAATATCACAAATCCTGCCATTTGAAGTAATAATAATACTTTCATTGCATTTGAAGGTGCAATCCAGCAGCGACTAATGGAGTTAATGAAACAGGCCATTTTTGGCACCCAAATAGACAGTTTCTAATATGGAGCTTTAATTTAAAAATATCATTAACTTCACACTAAATATGTCTATCACATTTGAACGAGTACCTTTTAGCTAGAAATAATGTGGAGCTGGAAAAGAATATTGCTACAGTTGTATTGGAAGGATAGGATATTCTCAAAAACAATGTTGTAGTAAATATTAAAGACAATTACAATGTTGAAGTTTTAATAATTTCCATTAGCGTTAAAGTTATGAAAAGCACTTTAGACACTGACCACATTACTGTTAGATTCCCCCTGAACACCACCTCCCTTATATGGCTGCTATTGAGAATTGTTAATAAGCTCACGATATCGGCCAATTATAGCAATCCAAGCATTTAGAGGGTCAATTACTACAAGTTTGTTCCTTATTTTCAGTATTGATTAGTATACGGATTCAAGTGAAATGTCAAAAGAAGCTATTCTGGCCTATTTCAGCACTCCCTTTCCATTACCACCACCCCATTCCTCCTGAGCTGCTTTGTTATTGTTGTTACTACCCGCAATTAAACTGGTCTATTTCTTGGCATTTCTGTGAGCAATTAAAATCAAACGAATAACTATTTTGCAACAGATTATGATATTTGTTTGATAATATGGCCCAGATGGGAGAAATCAACCATAACAACCACCACCTCAGGTAATGTGGAACCTAAATATGTTCCCCAATTCTTCTTTTATACTCCTGCAATAGTCTACATACTCTATATATTCCTCAGTGGAAACGTGCTTACTTTTCCCACGTTAGCCAACACGAAAAATCTCGAGACGCACTAAGAGGAGTTGTATTTCTTGTTATTCATTCGAAAGTGGCATCCCATTCCATTTGATCTACTACGTATTATAGAAGATGAGGCATCACTGCCAACGACTTCAAGGTTGAAACAAATAGTATGTACAACCAATTTTACTGTATGCCTGACCACACTGTCATAATTTAGTTTGTATAAAAATAAAAATACAAGGAAGAAAATGCCAATTTAAAAATAGAGTTAATGTGAAAGGAAGAAAGGGATGGATAGAGAAGAAGGATGGCGGGGGGGGGGTGGATTGGGCTAAGCAGACTGCTTTGAGGAGGAGAGAGATTTTATGATACAAATATAAATAAGACAAAGCAGGGAATAAAGGGATATGAGAAGTAAGATGGCCAAACCAACTGCCGCCATTCTCTGAAAGATGGGCACGAATTTGCCCTGCTTCATCATTGCGGGGGAATTTACAATGCAGGTACTCTTCACAGCATCCCAAGCGATGGCGCCAAGTCTGTCACAAGGTGCTGTAAATCGTTCTAATGCGGATGCAAGGCGGGCATTAATCACTTTTGCAGCAATATGAGTTTCAAATGCACTCACAATGCGATCAAACTCCATGCCAATGACTCCGTGAACACTCAACAGCAGATTTTGTATTGACGTTTTTGACGAAGCTTTTGAAAGCCCCATTTTATAGGCCAATCCGGCAAAATTTGAAAGACTTTGCGTAAAACTTGGAAGTTTACTTATTTGATTTAGAGTGACAGCTGCTCTAAGTAGACCCTGAAGCTGTTCCTTGAATCTAAAGCTCTTTCTTGTGGAGCGTATTAATCGGAGAGCGTAATGGGAAATGCGGGGAAGTTGGGCAAGCCGGAATGAACAGGAAGACGAAGAGTTACGTACAATTACGAAATCTTGGCCCAAAATTCGCTGAAGATGGGTGGTTCTCTTGAGAATCTGCTTATCTGTATGAAGACTCACAAGTGCTGTTCTAATGGCTCGTTCCCTATCAGAGGCACCTTTGATTGCTTCAGACCAAAATCGATCAGCAGTATCGAGAGCTGTGGTGCTACCAGTTTCCTCCGATTTCTCATTATTCCGCTCTGAGACTAGAGCTTCCAGAAGAAGCTCAAAGTTTGGAGGAAGAAGTCCCACTTCCAGTTTCTCCACCATCATTTCAACTGCCTGAGCGACAAAGTATCCCTTGAATTCAATTGCTTTACTTCGAAATATGGGGACATTCAATAGCCCAGTGAAGTTAAACTTAATGTCGAGAGAGATGGCTTTAAATAAGCTCTCATTTCCGGAAGGTCTAAAGTAGGGAAAAAAACAAGATGTTAAGTCACACACTACTCTTAAGTTATAAATAGATATATTTGAGTAGGTGAGCTTACCCTGCGCATTGCGAGAATAAAGCTGAGACTAGATTTCGTGGAATGGTTATCAGGAGATGATTTTCAAGAGTGATATTATTTTGGGTGGAGTTATCGGCAAATCCTAAATGTTGATTCACAAATGAGGAGGTGAGATTCATCCAATGTCCCCAAGATTCCTCTATTATTTCATTAATTTCATTGTCTAACTGATACTGTTGGGGGCTGTTCAGAACAAGAGGAAGGCACACCTAAAAATTTTCGGAATTTAATTAATGCAAATATGGATTGTAAGCAAATTTTTATCAAGACAGCAATTGAGAATAAGAAAATTGTTGCATTCGCAAATATTGCATGTGAATCCTGTTACAACCTGACAAAGTATTAGGGAAACTAAAAAGATGAGCAAAGAGCCCCCCAGGAAATAATAATCCTCAACAAAATTCGGGCTTTGAATGTCTTCACAGTGTAGAGCGAATTAGATCGGATGATGTAGCTGGTCAAAGTTGACTTATCCTTTGCCAATGAAAAGTCACAATAGACAAACAAAAGTGGCAAGAGTAGCTGAAATAAAGAGAACTCGCCTGTACAAAAATGATTGGAATCGGAGTGTCATATGATCAAAATTATGCAATCTTAGAAAATGTTTTCCAATACCCACCATGTGTATGAACGAATGGGCGGTAAACACCCGATTTCGGACTTCACAGCTGAGCACATTAACTACCGCGACGCCGAGGAACAAGCGAAAATTCAAGCTGATACCAACCAGAAAGAAAGGGAACACAAATTCTTGTTGGATCAGTGGTAGCTTATTACACTTCAACTCAAACTCTAGTTATTATTATTATTACTACTTCCACCTTATACTAGTTGACTTAACGACTTTAAGAAGTAATTTGTATTTCAAAAATAAATTGAAAAAATTTGATTTCTTTCGGAAATTTATCCCAGAGTCGTAACGAGTAAATTAGTCAAGTAAATGGCTAATTCCCGTATTTTTATGGTCGAAAAAATTTTAAATTCGCAAATCGCTTATTCGTTTTCATGTCATAAAATGAGCCCAAAATTTAAAACATTGTTAATAGTAAACAAAAAGGAAACTTATGTTGCTTTTGAATTCACGAAAAAAGGCAATCTCTCTCACTTCTTGTATTGGCTGTAACACGTGTCGGCGAATATTTAAAATTAAAAAACAACATCTGTATTTGACTAAATTGGCGAAATATATTAGGAGGTGAGTGGTCGATAAAGCCCTAAGATCATTCAATAAAATAATTTTAATGCGTTATGAAGTTAACTTTAATCAAGTCATTGCCTTTTATATTACTGACAGCAGAATTCGCGAATTTTCCCATTTGGAGACTACGGTACAAAGTTAGTTATGCTATATAAGCCAAAATTATCATCTATACACGGGGTGTGCGATAGACTTACCTCCACGTGGTGCACCCTGGGCAACGTATACTCATGGGGCAAAAAAGTCTATTTACCGGGAGTTGACTTCTAAGTTCAAGCTATCATGACCCCACTGTATGTCATATTCGACCACTGCCACAGTACTCACCTCACCTTCTTTCCACCTTTGTGTCTGTCTCTTTTACATCTTTAAAACACTCTTCTGTTCCCCCCCCCTCTCGACTTTTTTCAATTTGATGTTCCTTCCCCTCTGTGAAGCCTGATGTCATCTAAAGGGCTAATGATAACTATCATGAAGCCGGCCATTTGATATAAATAAATAAATAATCTATACACGAGTTCTGCCTATGCTGACATAGATAAATGTGATGTGTGTTTTTATTGTCTACTTCGATGGGTTAGAGCTGGAATAGAAACAATTTCAGTTTCATATGTATATATTAATTTGCTGAGTCAGTGATGTGGTGGCAATTATAAGCGTTTAATTAATCGAAGAATACGATATTATAGCAGATGGATGAGTGGGTGGGCGATAATATCGATTATTTCTGACCACGTTGGGAGTCGTAAGATGTGAGTATCATACAAGAACGACGCCAAATACCTTCCTCTGACCAATTCAAATATCGCATGCCTAAATTCTACCAGCTATTCGCTTGATATACCGAATTTGAAGGTCATGCATAGTAAGCAGATTGATTTATTTTCAATGAGAACGTTGCAGAGAAATAGGTTTATTGTCAGATAAAACAGTAAATGATAATTGACGGCTCAAAGCTGTTTCTTCTCTTCCTAGTGGGGTTTAAGATTTATGGGATATCTGATTTTGTACATGAGCTTCAAATATTTCCCGGAAAATAGCTTCTGAACCTCGAAAGTCTAAACCCAGTTATTGACAAAATTAACATAAAATTTAGAATTGTTCTGTCAGCAAGCTATTTGCTTAAGATATTGTCATAGGTTCTTTAAGTAGTTTTGATGCTAATAATAATAATTATCGTGGAGGAGCATGATAAACTCCTACTTCCAATATTTGAAAGGGGGGTGCGCGATGGACTTACCTCCACGTGGTGCACCCTGGGCAACGTATACTTATACGGCAAAAAAGTCTATTGATCGGCAATTGACTTCTGACTTCAAATTTCTATGGTCCGACTATTTTTCATATTCGATCCCTTCCACAGTACTCATCTTACCTTCTTCTCTACCTTTGTGTCTCTCTGTCTGTCTCTTTTACCTCTGTGAATCATTATTCTGTCTCCCATCTCGACTTTTTGTCAATTTGATGTCCCTTCTCCTCTTCATGAAGCCCCGAAGTCAGCTCCAGGGCTGATGATAACCATCAAAACGCCTGCCATTTGATATAAATAAATAAATAAATATTTGATAGGAAAAGGGGGGAGGCAAAATTTGTACTTCTTTCTAACTTTATTTTTCTGTCCATTAGCTTGAATCCGTAAACATGTCCTAATTTCATCCATGCTGTCTTAGTCCACTAGGTAAGCAGAAAATCAGCCCCCTTCCAGTGATAGTTTTCGCCAATGAAATTTCAAGAATGTGCAAACAATTGAATCCATTAACAGAGCGTTATAATACGAAATGATTATTTTCTAT